GAAATTTAGAGTGGATCAATTCTCTAAAATACGATTACCTCTAAGACATTTTTACTAGGATGTGGCAAACTGGGATGGCTCTTTAAGTGTGGGAGGTGTGGGCAGTAACACTCAAGGTCCGGACTGAGGCGAAAGACAGTACCCTGCCAAGTCCTGCCCAAATCTAGCCCACAGACTCCACCCCGTGGACCTAGGAGTCTGGGCAGTGTCTCGCGTGTTTACTTACCTTATGGATCCAAGCTGCACTTTACTCTCCAGATCAGCCTAACTTTGGGGAATCTGGTAAAATTAAGTTCTTGAGTGAACAAAATACAGGACTGGGCCTTGGAATCCACAGGTGACCTAAAAGGTGAAGCCCTCCCAAGTGCTCTCCACAGTCTGTAAACTTACTTAGGGTGTCTGTTAACCCTGGAGTCTGCTGTGTACCCTGCAACCATTCTTAAGCCCCAGCTGCTAACTCACGCTAACTCATGTTAGCAGCTCCATTCCTTGCAACCAAGAGCCCTGCCGAGCGGTAGGTCAAGTGGTCCGTCATAGCAGTTACGATGCTCATATCTCACATCTGAGTGCCTGAGTTTAAGTCCTGGCTCCACTCCCAATTCCAGCTTCCTGGGAGGCTCAAGTGGTTGGGTCCCTGCCACCCAAATGGGAGACCTAGAGTGAATTCCTGGCTCCTGGTTTTGGCCTGGCCCAGCCTGAGCCATTGCAGGCATCTGAGGCAGTGGGTCAGTGAATTGGAACTTGGTCTCTCTCTTTGCCTCTGAAAAACAGAAAAAGAGCCCTACCTAATGGCAGGAACACCACAGACGGCTAGCATCACCTGCCGTTGTCACTGAGACAGCAACCGACTCCGAGATGGCGCCTCTCTGCCACAGAAGCACATCAGGTCCCCCGGGAGGCTACAACACAAAGACCTACTCTGGGTTCACCCCACCGGATTCAGATCCAGAGGCCAGGAAGCAGGGCTGGGACACCTGCCTTATTTCTAAGTTTCACAGGCAATTTTGAAGTGTACCTAAACTAGGCATAAAACCTCCATTCCAAAGCACAGAAAGAACAATTTCTTCCTTGTTCTCAAAAATGAGTTTCTGAGCAGCAATCTGTCCTGTCACTCAGCCATCCCGAACTGTTCAGTCCACCATGAGAACGCCCAACACGAGTTTTATTGAGCAACTGCTACAAGTCTGTTAGGCACAGTTCTGGCACCAGTGAGTCAAAGATAAGTAACCCAGAATCCTGCCCTAAAAGGAGCAGAGGCTACTGGGGAGATGGGCACGTAACTAACTCACAATGCAGCACCCGATGGCAGAAGGGAGAAAGTCCAAGGTGGTCTGCACCCAGGTGCTTCAAATGCTCTTTGGAAACTTGCTTACAGGTAGCCATCCACGCTCTGCTTCTCCATCCCGACCAAAATGAGCCCATGCACATACAGGATGCCCTACTGAAGTCCTCCACATGCTAGCCAGAAATTCTCCTGGGATGGGGAACACTCTAGCTGGGTGCAATTTGCAGCCCGTTTGTGGTTATCTTTAGTACTGGTAGACAGGGAAAATACACACAGATAACACAGCCTGCTCCAATAAAGCATTACAGAACTGCTCAGGCTAGACTATGCTACTTGGGTGGCCCTCACGGGCCCCCAATAACTTTCTATCATCATGTTCTGCTTCACTTCTCTCGACAAATTTCTAACTTTACAAATTATGTCTTTCCCCACTAGACTGTGTGCTGTACAAGGCCAGAACTCTGTCGTTTTTACTGCTTTACCTCCCAGCTCCTGCAGTAGAGGTTGGCTGAGTTGCTCAGTATATACTTATTGAATGAACAATGTCCAACATGCGCTCATGACCAGGGAGCCTGTCTGACTATGAAGGCTCTCTAACGGCACGCCTCTGGTTCTGTTCAACAACGGCTCAGGGGAGAGAAGCTTGTCAGCTTAACCTAAGACTTGTTTGAATACAGCTCTGCTACTTGATGGCTAAGTGACTCGGGAGTAGATTCATTTGTGAAATGGTCTTTCCAGGGTCACTGTGAGGTGCAGAGGAGCATAAATACAATGGTTACCCTGATGTTCAGTTGCTAACACCAGGAAAGCACTGGAAAGAACTGAACTGAAATTTTATTTTATTTTATTTATTTATTTATTTTTACAGGCAGACTGGACAGTGAGAGAGAGAGACAGAGAGAAAGGTCTTCCTTTTGCCGTTGGTTCACCCTCCAATGGCCACCGCGGCTGGCGCACCACACTGATCCGAAGGCAGGAGCCAGGTGCTTCTCCTGGTCTCCCATGCGGGTGCAGGGCCCAAGGACTTGGGCCATCCTCCACTGCACTCCCGGGCCATAGCAGAGAGCTGGCCTGGAAGAGGGGCAACCGGGACAGAATCTGGTGCCCCGACCGGGACTAGAACCCGGTGTGCCGGCGCCGCTAGGCGGAGGATTAGCCTATTGAGCCGCGGCGCCGGCCTAAACTGAAATTTTAAGTGTCTACACAGTCTTTAATCAGCATTTTGCTTCTAGAAATTGTCTTGTGGAAGAATCACAGGCCCACACAAATAAAAATGGCTAAGGGTTTCCTCCCTAGTGCCATCTAACAAAATCTGTAAAGTCTCAAAATACCTATCATTAGGGAACTGATGAAACAGCTACATCAAAGCGGCACAAAGCCTGGCATTTAGTAGACACCTGAAAAAAGGCAATCAGACAATAAATATAACAAAAACAGTAACATGTCTTGGGTACTTTTTTTTTATTTTTTTATTTTTTTTGACAGGCAGAGTGGACAGTGAGAGAGAGAGACAGAGAGAAAAGTCTTCCTTTGCCATTGGTTCACCCTCCAATGGCCACCGCGGCCAGCGCGCTGCGGCCGGCGCACTGTGCTGATCCGATGGCAGGAGCCAGGAGCCAGGTGCTTTTCCTGGTCTCCCATGGGGTGCAGGGCCCAAGCACCTGGGCCATCCTCCACTGCACTCCCTGGCCACAGCAGAGGGCTGGCCTGGAAGAGGGGCAACCGGGACAGAATCCGGCACCCCGACCGGGACTAGAACCCGGTGTGCCGGCGCCACAGGCGGAGGATTAGCCTAGTGAGCCGCGGCGCCGGCCCACTTTTATGCATTTCTTCCTCATGATCATACCATTCAGATGAAGGAAAAGTCTTAAAGAGATAAAAACAATTTGCTCAAGTGTCAGCGCCAACATTCTGGTTGTTATGGAAAACTGGGCAAAGTGTAAGAGGGATCACTCAGTATTATTATTATTATTATTATTATTATTTTTGACAGGCAGAGTGGACAGTGAGAGAGAGAGACAGAGAGAAAGGTCTTCCTTTTGCCGTTGGTTCACCCTCCAATGGCCGCCGTAGCCGGCGTGCTGAGGCCAGCGCACCGTGCTGATCCGAAGGCAGGAGCCAGGTGCTTCTCCTGGTCTCCCATGCGGGTGCAGGGCCCAAGCACTTGGGCCATCCTCCACTGCACTCCTGGGCCACAGCAGAGAGCTGGCCTGGAAAAGGGGCAACCGGGACAGAATCTGGCGCCCCGACCACGACTAGAAACTGGTGTGCCGGCGCCGCAGGCAGAGGATTAGCCTAGTGAGCTGCGGCGCCAGCCAGTATTATTATTATAGATTTATTTATTTGAAAGGCAGAGGTATCTTCCACCTGCTGGTTCACCACCAAAATGGCCTTAATAGCTGAGGCTGGACCATGCTGAAGCCAGGAGCCCAAGACTCCATCCTGGTCTCCCTTGTGGATGGCAGGGGTCCAAGTACTTGGGCCAGCTCTGCTGCCTTCCCAGGTGCATTAGCAAGGAGCTGGATTGAAGCGGAGCAATTGCGACTCGCTGGTGCTCATATAGGATGCCGGCATCACAGGTGGCGGCTTAACCCACTGCACCATGACACCGGTCCTGCTGTATTTAAAATTGCACCTGGATCTATCATTATCACAATCAAATTTTCAATTAAACAAATGACCCAGCCTCAGCTGCCTGTGGCTAGCAACTAGGGGATGTGAGGACACACCCAGCAGGCTGACTCCAAAGCTTGCCCTCAGCCTTTGGGGGGTGAACACTGAAAACGCGGCCCCGAGGGATGTCCCCAGCAGCGCCACTTGAGGCCCGCCCTTCCCCTCCGCGCTGCAACCCCTCCATCCTTGACTCCATCCCTTCCTCACTAGAGCTGGGCCCTGCATTTCGGCTTCTGCACTTTGCTAGGGCTGCTGTCTGCCTCGAATATCTTCACTTTACTCCAAATTCTGTCATTCCTTTCCCGGCCACCTCACGTGAAAGCTCTGTCAGTCTTTTCAATTCCGATGGGTCACCCAGTCCTGGAGTACCCAGTACATCAGAAAACCTATTTTCTTTTTTTTTTTTTTTTTTTTTTTTGACAGGCAGAGTGGACAGTGAGAGAGAGAGACAGAGAGAGAAAGGTCTTCCCTTGCCGTTGGTTCACCCTCCAATGGCCGCCGCTGCAGCCGGCGCACCGCGCTGATCCGATGGCAGGAGCCAGGATCCAGGTGCTTTTCCTGGTCTCCCATGGGGTGCAGGGCCCAAGCACCTGGGCCATCCTCCACTGCACTCCCTGGCCATAGCAGAGAGCTGGCCTGGAAGAGGGGCAACCGGGACAGAATCCGGCGCCCCGACCGGGACTAGAACCCGGTGTGCCGGCGCCGCAAGGTGGAGGATTAGCCTATTGAGCCACGGCGCCGGCTCTCAGAAAACCTATTTTCACCAAATACTCTGCAGACCTATTCACGTGCTACCTGGATGAGCCCATCCGTGCTACAGTTTTCACTGTGCCGTAATGTACTGAAGTGAGGGGTGTACCTAGAGCCTGGAGCAGTTAGCAGAAGCATTTAAAACAGAACTCAAAACAATGCAAAAGAGGCTGGTGCTCAGGCTTCGTCTAAGCAAATGACACCCGTCGATCAGTGGGCGCCATCGGCAAAGCCTTGCTCTAAACGTTATGACACATTCAGGGGTTTTTCCCAGCTCAAGACAACAGCAGCCTGTAATAAAATCCTTTTAGTAAAAAATGTTTTCTTGATCACAGCAAAATATACACATTTATAAAGATACACTGTCGGGAGGAACAGGCTATTTCCCACAGGCCACAGCTTGCAGTTTACTGAGCCCCCGGAGGAGGAATGTCATCACTCGAGGGAAGGAAATCCACTCACAGGGAGGCTTCATCTGCACAATGAGTTTCCTGGTCGAGTCTTCTCGGGCAGTGCTGGCTGACCCTGGCCTTTGACGACAGACAATGCATCCGGGTGCTGTTTTCATACCTATGCTCTCAGAAACAGCTGAGCCCTCCGGGGGGTCAACATGGCCTCCTAGGTCTGCAAGAATTCAGGCTGCACGCGGGCCACCTTCCGGAACTCCTTAGTGTGGGTCTTAGGGCACTGCATCTCACACCAGCTGATGGGAACCATCTGGACACCTGGAAGGGAAAAGCTGGGTTTGCAGCTGGGACCTCAGATGTTTGCTTGAAGCCCTTTTCTTTCAGATGGGTACGAAGCTGAAGTATTACCAGGCTACCAGCAAACCTCCCCTCATACGGGAAAACCGTGTTTATCTCATGATTTATGAAGTGAGTCCCACCTCCTTAGGGCTAGCAGAATCTCTCTCATCTCTGCAGTAAGCACAGCCACGCATCACCTGATGGGGGCATGCGATTTCATAGTTGTGTGAATATCACAGGATGTACGGCTGCAACATCACTAGGTGATAATCTCATGCGACCACCAGCCCAGATGCAGTCTGTCACTGACCAAAATGCTGTTATGCAGTGCATCATGGTACCTACACTTATATTGCTTCCCAAACAATGACAAACTAGGGAAAGTCAGAAAATTAATGCATTGATCCCAAACCATACCAGCCAAGGAAGAATCAGAATGTAGAAGTGTAGACCAACTCACCTGACTCACTATGGGCCACCACCACTCCCAGCTCATTTTCAGCTGTGGTCAGCAGGTAGTTGGACTGGGCGTCACCTAGAGAGATCTAGTCACACAACAGCGGTGAAGGAAAATGAGAGGTTACAAGTCTTCCCCCCTTAGCCACTTGGGTTGTTTCTCTAGTTCCATGTCTTCTTCACGAAGAACCAGAAGTCTGCTGGGAATAAAGGATACCACTTTGGCCAAGACAATGTCCCCTGGACGGAAACTCTTGTATATTTCAACCTGTGAAGAAAGCATAGTGGTGTTAAGTGAAGCTCTGGATCAGAGCCACACAGAATCCTTAGCCCCTCTGGGAGAGCTTGTCGCCTATCTAACCCCAGCGGGGAGAAGGCATCATAGCCTGTCAGTCAACATCATACAAATCAGATTTTGAATTCAGTAATCCAATCAGGAATCAGACTACTGAATTTACTATAAAAAGGTACTATAGGGGCTGGCTTTGAGGTGCAGTGAGTTAAGCCACCACCTGCAACACATATCTGTATCCCATTTGAGCGCCAATTAGAGTCCCTGCTGCTCCACTTCTAGTTCAGGTCCCGCTAATGTGCCTGGGAGAACAGCAGAGGATGGCTCAAGTATGTGGGCCCCTGCCACCCACATGGGAGACCTGGAGTTTCTGGCTTCTGGCTTCAGCTTGGGGAGTGAACCAGGGATGGAAGACAGCTCTCTATGTAGCTGTCTTTCAAGTAAATATTTATCTTACAAAAAAAAAAAAAAAAAAAAAAAAAGGGCGGGGCAAGCACTGTGGCGCAGCACGTTAACGCCCTGGCCTGAAGCGCTGGCATCCCATGTGGGCGCTGGTTCAAGACCCAGCTGCTCCATTTCCGATCCAGCTCTCTGCTGTGGGCTGGGAAAGCAGTAGAGGATGGCCCAACTACTTGGGCCCCTGTACCCGCGTGGGAGACCTGGAAGAGGCTCCTGGCTCTGGATCAGCGCAGCTCCAGCCACTGCAGCCATCTCAGGAGTGAACCAGTGGATGGAAGATCTTTCTCTGTCTCTAACTCTCTCTGTAACTCTTTCAAATAAATAAAATAAATCTTTAGAAAAAGAAAAGATATAAGAGGTACTGCAGTTGGTTCTGAAAGATCCAGGACTACATCTGAGGGGACAGCAATGAATAAATACTTGGCTTTAAGGGCAAACCTAGCCCCACTCAGGTCAGATGAATTAACATAAATGTGAGTAATTGTAAAGGATTTCAATTGCTTCATTCATGGAAGAGAAAAACGAACCAACCAACAACCTTGTCTTTTTCAGTGGCTCGAACATCTTCCTTCCTACAAAAAAAAAAGTTCACCAAAGGTTAATTATCTTCGAGAAAAACTGTCCTGAAGGTTCCTAGCAGGTGAAGGACTCTCAGAGCAGATGGAACAAGTCTTGACGGGAGCCAGCTGCCACCCAGAACGAGGGGGGGAGGCATCCTTATCTTCGCCCACGGGAGAAAGCACTTGCCCATTGTCAGGCCACGCAGAGCAGCAGGAGCAACACCTCTGAGTACAGAAAGAGATCAGAGGCGGCAGGAAAAGATAAGGAACTTTGCTGCTTCAAGAGGACTGGAATGAAATGCCACAGAACCACACCAGACCCTGCAAAATCGAATTATCTGAGGTGGGTGTTTGGTGCAGTGGTAAAGCCGCCACTTGGGATTGTCCATGTCCTATCCTGCACTGCCCGGGTTAAGAGTCCCCACTCCGCTCTCCATTCCAGCTTCCTGCTAATGTGCACCCTGGGAGGCACAGGTGATGGCTCAAGTAGTTGGGTCCTTGCTTCCTATGTGGGACAATGGATTGAACTCCTGACTCTCGGCTGCTGTAGGCGCTGGGGGAGTGAAACAGAGGATGGGAGATCGCTCTGTCCCTGTGTTTCAAATAGATGAAGCGAATAAATTTAAAAAACCCTGTTATCTGGCCTGTAATAATTGTTTGTCTTTTCTATAAGGAATCCATTGGAAAAAATATACCACCTCACAAACAAATCCTTTCATTATCTTATAACCTTTGGGATTACTCTATACTAAGTTCAAGAAAAAAAGTACTGGGGCCGGCGCTGTGGTGCCATGGGTTAACACCCTGGCCTGAAGCACCGCTGTCCCAAATGGGCACCAGTTCAAGACCCAACAGCTCCACTTTCGATCCAGCTCTCTATTAGGGCCTGGGAAAGCAGTAGAAGATGGCCCAGGTCTTTGGGCCCCTGTACCCATGTAGGAGACCGGGAGGAGGATCCTGGCTCCTGGCTTTGGATCGGCACAGCTCCGGCCGTTGCGGCCAACTGTGGAGTGAACCATCGGATGGAGGACCTCTCTGTCTCTCTCTCTGTCTCTCCTCTCTGTGTAACTCTGACTTGAAAATGAATAAATAAATCTTAAAAAAAAAATAAAGAAAAATACTTCTTTAAATGCTTTGTACTTTATTTGGTTCAAATCAGCCTAACATTGTCAATCTTCAGCTCTGCTTAATCTTTTTAAAATCCTTTTTAGTATCTTCCTTTCATCCTAGCTCATATAACATGTTCTTTGGATATTAATGGGGAGAATCAAAGTACAAAGAAGATAGAAAGATGGCATGAGCAGGTATTGTAAGTGTTCCTAAAAATTCCAGTTGTCCTGTCTATCCTAATCTCATTCCAGGTGTTGAGGCAAGTATCACAACAAGGATACTTCTTCTTACAGATTTATTTATGTACTTGAAAGGCAGCGTGTGTGGGGGAGGACAAGGATACTTCTTACCGGATAGTTCCTCGAAAAGAGTTCTTAAGAGGTGTGGATCCCACGTAGAGGATGTGTACTTTGGCAAAACGTGAATTGATGCTGGAGACCTGTGGAATTCAGAGAGGATCAGCACCGGAGTATTCACAATTGTCAGCTCAAGGAGGCAGCAATGAACAAGGCTTTACTAGGACTTCAGCCCAAGATTCTAGTAAACATACAATTGAAGACAAGCTAGCTTCTACTTATCTCTGCCTAAGTGAGATTTGTGGATTAAGAACAACTCTGGCCACCTGACAGGGTGACTATGGGAACCAAATGACATGTTATACAGATATATTTTCTTATATATTTATTTGAGAGAGAGAGTTAGAGGAAGACACAGACAGAAAGGTCGCCATCTGTTGGTTCACTCCCCAACTGGCCACAATGGCCGGAGCTGTGCCAATCTGAAGTTAGGAGCAAGGAGCTTCTTCCGTGTCTCCTACACAGGTGCTGAGGCCCAAGCACTTGGGCCATCTTCCACTGGCCATCTTCCACTGCTTTCCCAGGCCACAGTAGGGAACTGGATCAGAAGTGGAGCAGCTGGCATATGAAAACTAGCACCTTACAGAGAGGGCGAGAGAGAGGGAGAGAGGGAGGGGGAGGGAGGGGGAGGGAGGGGGAGGGAGGGAGAGGGAGGGGGAGGGAGGGGGAGGGAGGGAGAGGGAGAGATCTTCCATCTGCTGTTTCACTCCCCAGATGGCTGTAACAGCCGGAGCTGAGCCAATCCGAAGCCAGGAACTTCTTCCGGGTCTCCCTTGCGGGTGCAGGGGCCCAAAAACTTGGGCCATCTTCTTCTTCTTCTTCTTTTTTTTTTTTACAGGCAGAGTGGACAGTGAGTGAGAGAGAGAGAAAGGTCTTCCTTTTTGCCGTTGGTTCATCCTCCAATGGCCTCCGCGGGCGGTGTGCTGCGGCTGGCACACCTTGCTGATCCGAAGGCAGGAGCCAGGTACTTCTCCTGGTCTCCCATGGGGTGCAGGGACCCAAGCACCTGGGCCATCCTCCACTGCACTCCCGGGACTTGGGCCATCTTCTACAGCTTGCCCAGGCCATAGCAGAGAGCTGGATTGGAAGTGGAGCAGCTGGGTCATGAACCCTTGCCCATATGGGATGCTGGCATTGCAGGCAGTTGGCTCTATCCGCTATGCCACAGTGCTGGCCTCATTATTTTTAAAATTTATTTTTTATTTATTTCAAAGGCAGAGTTATAGAGAGAAGAGGAGAGACAGAGACAGAGAGAGAGAGAGGCAGGCTTGTTCATCTGCTGGTTCACTCCCCAAATGGCTGCAATGGTGGGGGCTAGTTCAGGCCGAAGCCAGGAGTCACTTTTTCTTCTGGGTCTCCCACATGGGTACAGGGGCCCAAGCACTTGGGCCGTCTTCCACTGCTTTCCCAGGCACATTAGCAGGGAAATGGATCAGAAGTGGAGCAGCTGGGACAGGAACCAGACCCTATATGGGATGCTAGTGTCACAGGCAGAGGCTTAACCTACTACGCTACAATGCTGGCCTGTTAGATTTTTAAAAGTCACAGTCCAACATAAATAGACACAGGGCATGGCAGCAAATCTAGACCTTTAGAAATCTTACTAAGAGGTATGTATAGCAAATGGCCGGCGCCGTGGCTCAATAGGCTAATCCTCCACCTTGCGGCGCCGGCACACCGGGTTCTAGTCCCGGTTGCCCCTCTTCCAGGCCAGCTCTCTGCTATGGCCAGGGAGTGCAGTGGAGGATGGCCCAGGTGCTTGGGCCCTGCACCCCATGGGAGACCAGGAAAAGCACCTGGCTCCTGGCTCCTGCCATCGGATCAGCGCGGTGCGCCGGCTGCAGCGGCAGCCATTGGAGGGTGAACCAACGGCAAAGGAAGACCTTTCTCTCTCTCTCTCTCACTGTCCACTCTGCCTGTAAAAAAAAAAAAAAAAAAAAAGAGGTATGTATAGCAAATGGAAAATTTTTTAAATGTTTATTTATTTGAAAGGCAGAGCAACACAGATCTTCCATCCTGTCTCCTCAAATGCCTACAATAGCTGTGGCTGGGCCAGGCCAAAGCCAGGAGCTCCATCTGGGTCTCCCTGAAATGCCCTAAAGTCTACACTTGTGGCATGCATTGTGACACAGTGGGTTAAGCCCTGCCTGCAACACCGGCATCTCATATGGGTGCTCCTTTTGGGTCTCAACTGCTACCACTTCTGATCCAACTCTCCGCTAACGTACCTGGGAAAGCAGTAGAAGATGGTTCAAATACTTGGGCCCCTGCTACTCACATAGGAGACCTGGATGCAGTTTCAGGCTCCTGGCTTTGGTCTGGCCTAGACCTGGCCATTGCAGCCATTTGGGGAGTGAACAAGCAGATGCAAGATCTTTTCCCATCTCTCTCTCTCTAACTCTGCCCCTTCAAATAAACAAATAAAATCTTAAAAAAAAAAAAAGACTCGGCCGGCGCCGCGGCTCACTAGGCTAATCCTCCGCCTGTGGCGCCGGCACACCAGGTTCTAGTCCCAGTTGGGGCACCAGATTCTGTCCCGGTTGCCCCTCTTCCAGGCCAGCTCTCTGCTGTGGCCCGGGAGTGCAGTGGAGGATGACCCAGGTGCTTGGGCCCTGCACCCCATGGGAGACCAGGAGAAGCACCTGGCTCCTGGCTTCGGATCAGTGCTGTGCGCCGGCCGCAGCATGCTAGCTGCGGCGGCCATTGGAGGGTGAACCAACGGCAAAGGAAGACCTTTCTCTCTGTCTCTCTCTCTCACTGTCTACTCTGCCTGTCAAAAAAAAAAAAAAAAAAAAAAAAAAAAAAAAAAAAAAAAAAAAAAAGACTTTACATTTAATAGGAATTCCAGAGAATAAAGTCTTTTGCTTCTCTGCAGAAAAAGGCCTCAGCCACAGATGTTCAAAATTAGGTCTCCTTTTCACCCATTTCCTAGATGTTGGAGGGAACCACAAAGTCAGGGAATCGGCTCAAATAACTATGCATACCCAAATTTTGTTCATTTTCCTAGAAATCTCCAGACCACTCAGTCCAGTGAGACATTCTGTGATGATAGAAATACCATGTGCTGACCAAATTAGCAACCACTAGCCACAGTAGCTACTGAGAGCTGGAAATGTGGCGAGTGGTTAGTATGCTTAATGAAATGTTAGTACTGTCTAGCATATTTTGAAATATTTATTTGAGAGACAGAAAGAAAGAGAGAGAACACTTCCACCCACTGATTTATTCCTTAAGTGCCTGCAGTGGCTGAGGCTGGGAGTCAAGTACTTAATCCAGGTCTCCCACATGGTGGTAGTAGCCTAACTACTTAGGCCACCACCTGCTGCCTGCCAGAGACTGCATTAGCAGGAAACTGAAGTCAGCAGATGGAGCCAGGGATCAAACCCAAGCATTCCAACATGCGATACAGGTACTTCAACGATGTCTTAGCCGCTAGGTCATATGCTTGCCCTGACACTGTTAAATTTAAATAGCCATATGAGGCTAGTGGCTATCAGACTGGACAATGCAGTTCAAGAATGATCATGCTCTGTGCACTGGGTTGGTGTCCTAAGCATGGAGACTGGTAACAACTTACCTTACATGTTACAATAGAGCCCACATCTGGAAGTAATTGGGATTCTGCTTCTCTCATCACAGACACTACCGGGAGCTACAAAGAGAACAGTAAAAAATGAATGTTCTGGCTAAGCCCTGAGTAAAGTGTGGCTGGAGAGTTCGACAGGAATGCTGTGGCAGAGTTGAGGTCACAAGGCAGATGGACTATGGATTCATTTACAGTCCAGGACAGAGGGTCTTCCATTAGGAAGAGCCCCGGGGGCCCTGGCAAGGCTGCTGTAGAAGACATAAGTTAACCATTCCAGAGCAGAGTTGGTTTTTTGGTGACTTGGAATTTCTCAGTACACCACTATATTACCTGTAGCCATGGATTTGATTCTGACCTCCAAAGTCGCACTGTTTCTATTTCTTATTTTATTGCCCGACTAACATTTCTAAGTGTTTTATAATACTGGATACTGGTTTCCTTCTATCTTTAGAGAATATCTGTAGGGCTTTCTTTCTGAGCAAGCACGTTCTAATTCTGAATCCTTTTTCTCCTGTGCTACCCATCTTTAGCTGCTCCTTCCAAGACTGCGTATCTGATCGGGAGCTGGTCCTGGTTTGATCTCTGGAACTGGCCAGGACAACATCGCTCATGTATTCAACTGACCATCTGCCTTGTGCCGGGCACTGCAGGTAAGGTGGGTGGTGCGGCCTGCTTGCGTGGAACTTTGGGCGTTTGCAGGCTGAAACAAGTGCTCGGAAGTGAGTTTAACAAAATAAAAACAAGACTCAACCTCCCCCACCCCCACCCCCGCCAAAATCCCTTCCAAAAAGTGATACGAGAGGCTAGTTGAACGAGGTCAGAGTTACATAGACCGAGGAGAGGCGCGCGTTCAGGCGGATGGCAGGAGACACGGGGGAAGCAAGCCAACTGCACTGCGGGCAGTGCCGCCGAGCCGGATGAAGACGGACAGGTCGGGGCTACTCGGGCGGGATTCGGCTGGCTGCCGGATTGGCCGGGGTCACTCTCAGCTCGCAGCTGCCCCTAGGGGTCGGCAGCCCCAACCGCGCGAGGTCCACACGACCGGTGTGCGGCGCCCACGGCCAACCGAGACCAAGTCGTTCTACAGGGACGCGCCTGCCCTACCCGGGCCTAAGGGCCGGAACTCAAGGGCAGTCCATGACAAAGAAGGGAGATGGCCAGCCGCCCCGCGTACCGCGCCGTTCTCGCTGGTCTTCGTTAGACAGCCGGCGAGGGAAGAAAAGATGTATCCGTGCCGTGTGTAGGTGCCGCTGCCTGGGCTGCCCTCCTCCAAGTTACACAGACGTTCGCCTGCGGAAAGAGCGCTGCATCGGTCACTGGTCCCCAGAGGCTGCTAGGCGTCCTGCCTTCCTGCCTCTGGCCCTAGCCGGGACTCCGTACGGGAGCCGTGCACTTACCGGGGATGCAGTACCTTACAGGTGGCGCCATGACTGCCACTGTCCCAGAGCCCGGATGGAAACGAAGCCGACGTCTCGTTGGCCGAACCCAGACACAGTGCTGCAGTAAGGAACGTGCCAATTGGCGGGCTTTGTCACGTGCCCGGCAGACACGCCTCCTGCAGGGCAAACTCCATTTCCCAGGTTTCCCTGGGAGAAGGCCGGGGGCGGAACTTCGGGCTCGTGTGCCTGCGCCTGCGCCTGCGCCTAGGGTTGAGGATGGGCAGGCGGCGGGTCCGGGTCCATTGGCAGGCGCTGCGGCTGGCGGGGCATGGTGGGACGGATTGAGCCAGGCCCGCCCGGGGCGCCAGGCTGGAGTAGGTGGCAGTGAGCTGCGGCCGAGGCTGCGGGGCGTGATTTCGATGATCGAGGAATTGGCAGGCAGCAGGTAGGGGCGAAGCCGTGGCCCTTGCTCCCTCTCATAGCCCCTGTTTTGTAGGGTCGGGCCCTGCCCCAGGGCCCTGTCTTGAGTCTGGTTTCTTGCTCTCCTCGCCCCGCCCTGCAAGGCCGAGCAGTCCTCGGGCGAGGCGCACCCTCTGGGCAACCATAACGCACAGAGCAGAAGTTAACCAACCCAACTTGCCCATTTCTCAGATTTGGAAATCCAACGCCAGGGTTTGACTTGTCCCGAGCCTTGAAGATAATTCAAGATAGAGCGCAAGCCGGATCCAAGCTTTCGGCTTCCAGTGCATCGCGGTTTGACCATGCCGCCCTACCTGAAAGATAAGGCTCGTTCTGCAGCTGTAGTTGTCCGGGCCCTTCTTTAACTTTTGACGAACTGACCCGTGAGAAAGTTGCTACCCTTTCTCTTAGCGGGTTAGCCAGGAAGGGAAGTGGGCACGTGAGTAAGTTGCTATTCTTTACTGACTTCTGACATCTCTTGCATGAGCTTGCACACATCCTGAGAGCAGCATCTTTGTCTAGATGAGATTGGCACGACTTTGATATTTTTTTAAATTTATTTGACACAGAGACAGAGATCTTCCATATGCAATGGAAGCAGGATTTTTTTTTTTTAATTAATTAATTTGAAAGGAAGACATGGAGAGGAGGAGAGAGATCTTCCATCCACTGGCTCATTCCTTAAATGGCCGCAATGGCCAGGGCTGGGCCAGCCAGGAGCCAGGAGCTTCTTCCGGGTCTCCCACGTGGGTGTAGGGACCCAAGCACTTGGGCCATCCTCTGCTACTTTCCCAGGCGCATTAGCAGGGAGCTGGAATGGAAGACTGAGAATGAGAGGCCAAGGAGGGTGTTAATCACTGCCAGACGCCTGCCCCTGACGTTGGCTGCTTCATCTCCCTTCCAGTGGCTTTGGAATCTGTCCCCTCGCCTCCCCCCATTGGTTTCCCCTTGGGAACAGATGGCGCTTTAGAGCCCTGGGAAGAGGGAGGTGCCTTGGCCTGTAGTCTCCTGTAATATGATGGCAGATGGCCACGAGAGCCTGTGGCTGCTGCTGACAGGAGGACTCCGGTTGGTGCTTGGTGCAATAGTAGAACTGCCCTTTGCTCTGTTTCCCTCTCTCTGCACTGAGATTGCCCCTTCCTCAGACGCACATGATGTTTGGAATTTTGCTTCGCCTCGGGGGAGAAGTCCATTTCGTGGTGGTCCATGGGTGTTTTCCCTGGCATCTTCCTACCTGCACACCCCACCAGCTACAGTGAGGAAGTGAGCAGGTTTCAGAGTTTGTGCACCCACCTCTGCATCCGCAAGCTCTCCGTTTACGAGTTTGGCTGATTTCTGGTTGGATTTGTTTTCTGAGATGCTCTCAGTTCTTCAGTGCTACGATTCTAACAGTGGTTTCTGTTTCTCTGTTCATCAGGAACAATGGTAGCAGCAGATACTTACTTAGTGTTACTGCATTGGCAGGAGTGTCTCTGTAGGTGTCTGTAGGACAGACAGACATCTGACCAGCCTTTCCGCTTCACCATCCCTCCAAGTCATTCATCCAACAAGTATTTATTGAGTACTTCCATGAGCCAGGTATTGTGCTAAGTGCTTTATGAATATTTCATTTGTAACTTGCTGAGTATGTACTAGAATCATAGAGGGTTAGAGCTGGGAGGAACCTTAGCATCTAATCCATTCGCTCAGTGAATGGGAGCACAAGGAGACTGAGTTCCAGTTGGGTTCAATAGTTTGCCCAGAGTCACAGGAGTCTGTAGGGGCACAGTTGAGCCCAAGTGAGTGGGCAGTTGTAAATCTAGTCCTGGAGGGAGGAATTTCCTGGAGAGCTCAGTTGAGGATAATTTAAAACGTAGTCTGACAAGGAGGGTATTTGTTTAAGAGTAGGAGTGATGGCTGTGAGGTGGCATATAGTTTATGCTTATTACAGATGAGAATTGCATGCTGTTATAAATATATAATTTTTAAAGATTTATTTATTTATTTGAGAGGTAAAGTTACAGACAGGGAGAGACAGAGAGAAAGGTCTTCCATCTGCTGGCTCATTCCCCAAATGGCCAACGGCTGGAGATGCACCCATCCGGAGCCAGGAGCCTCTTTCAGGTCTCCCACGCAGGTGCAGGGGCCCTAGGATTTGACCCATTCTCCATTGCTTTCCTGGGTCATTAGCAGAGAGCTGAATCGGAAGAGGAGTAGCCGGGACTTGAACTGGTGCCCATATGTGATGCTGGTGCACAGGTGGTGACCTACCTGCTACGCCACAGCGCTGGCCCCCCAGGCAGTATCTTAACCATGGAGCCCCCCTCCCACCCTGAGCTTTTTGTTTTCTTTTCTGCTCTCCTCCTTAACTCTTAACTTGCTAAGTGGTGATGGGAATGGCCAGTTTCTTTACCCGGTGCAGAGCATAGGTTCCTACTGAATTGTCTTCTCATTTTCTGTAGGCCTTGTCTGCTGGGTTTCTTTTCTTCATAGGGCTTGTGGAAGGCAGTAATTAAGTGTTTTGTTTGAAAGGCCTTTTGTGGGGATGAGCCAGGGTGCAAAGAGAGCACATTGCTCCAGTTACTGAACTGAAACCTTGCCTCCAGTGGAGCAGCCTCCTCCAGTTTCTGCCGGATCTGAGCTGCCTGTTAAATAAGTCAGTGGAGTCGCTGCAAACAAAGCAGCCCTCCCTGGCTGCCTTGTGGGAAAATGGGATAACTTCCTTCCCGGGAAGGACCCCCTCTGCAGGGTAGATGAGAGTGTCATCAGAGGATTCAGAGCCTGAGTGTCCTCTGTTCTGGGCACTGCCTGGGAAGCCAGTTTCCTCCCATGTCTGTTGAGTGAGGGAGGAACCAGAGAGATGAGTAGGAGGCACTCACAGAGGAGCATGAATGGGGCTAAAGAGCTGGAAGCTGGATGGAAGGCTTGGGACTAATGGCAGCGATTTGGAGGGGAGACCCACTACAGAGGGGCAGGCCCTAGGACCAACATGGAGACCCCTGCCCCTCCCCTGCTGCTCCGCTCTGAATTCCCAAAGCTGGCCACTCTATCCTTGGGGTGGAGCTGGGAGTGGAATTGGAGACAAAGCATCTTATATCCTGCAGCAGGGAGCTGATGTTCCTGCCGGGAGCCCGGCTGAAGCCTGCGGGCCTGTAACATCAGCCCAGAGGGAGCAGGAGGAGTATCTTTTGCCAAGACTCAGATAGTGCTGGGGAAGAACTAGTTGCAGGATCTGTAGGCTGTGTGCTCTCTCTTACACTGGCTGCTCCGTGGTGAGGAGGTAGGTCAGCGGGTCAGGGCAGGCTGGAGACCCTGGGGTTTGGTGGCTGAAGTGGCCATGCCCAGAGATGTAGAGGGCAGCTGTGTTGGCTATGCTTCACTCAATGGCCTGCCTACCCAGATAGCTCCAAAGACTGCTGTGGTGTGGGGCCACTTGCCTCTCGCCCCTTTACCATGGCCCTTTACCCTTGGATTTGCTATACACTCACATGCCATACCGCAGGCTCAGAATCTGCAGGCCCTACTCCTGTAATCTGGTTGGGACATTGGCACTGACATTCCATAAAGAGTGAGGGGAACTTGCTTCACACAGCAGGTGACTGGCCTAGCTGGACCTGTCTGAGGCCTTTGCCCTCCAAGCTGGTGCTGTGGGCCTTCTCATTGGTGGGGTACAAGGAGCTCAGGCTGGACCTTCACGATGGTGTGCTCTCCTAGGAGCCATGCGGGGCCAGCGGAGCCTGCTGCTGGGCCCGGCCCGCCTCTGCCTGCGCCTGCTTCTGCTCCTGGGCTATAGGCGCCGCTGCCCTCCTCTGCTCCGGGGCCTGGTACAGCGCTGGCGCTATGGCAAAGTCTGCCTGCGCTCCCTGCTCTACAACTCCTTTGGGGGCAGTGACACCGCTGTCGACGCTGCCTTTGAGCCTGTCTACTGGCTGGTGGACAACGTGATCCGCTGGTTTGGGGTGGTGAGTGACGTCCAGGGAGCAGGAAAAGGGGTTTGTGGGGAGCAGAGGGATGTGTCTGATGGAGCCACACTGCACTTGGGAGGCCTGCCCCTCCCCCCAGGGAAATGGGCGTCCTCTCTGGGTGCAGCCGGCTCACCCTCTCTCCAAACCTCCCTGGTGCTGGCAGGTGTTCGTGGTGCTGGTGATCGTGCTGACAGGCTCCATCGTGGCCATCGCCTACCTGTGTGTCCTGCCTCTCATCCTCCGAACCTACTCAGTGCCGCGACTCTGCTGGCATTTCTTCTACAGTCACTGGAATCTGATCCTCATCGTCTTCCACTATTACCAGGCCATCACCACCCCACCTGGGTACCCGCCCCAGGTGGGTCCATTTGGGGGAAAGGGAAGGGGAGGGCTGCAGGCTGTGGGAGGCTATCCCAAGAGTTGGGGGAGAGTGCCTTGATGTCTTAGAAGGTGCAAAACTGGTGCCACTAGTCGTGATACTCTTCTCCCTTTGCACAGGGCAGGAATGATATTGCCTCAGTGTCCATCTGTAAGAAGTGCATTTACCCCAAGCCAGCCCGCACACACCACTGCAGCATCTGTAATAGGTGGGTCTTGGTTTTGCTGTCTGTGAACCCCAGCTGGGGCCCTTTTATTTATTTGAGGGGCAGAGAGGTTGATCTTTATCCACTAGTTCACTCCCCAAATGCCCACAACAGCTAGGGTCAGGGAAGCCTGAAGCCAGGGCCCTGGAACTCAATCCAGGTGTCCCACGTGGATGGCAGGGACTCAACTACTTGAGCCATCATCTGTTGGCTCTCAGGGCGCCCCTTAGCAGGAAGTTGCATTTGGGGGCAGAACTAGGACTTGAACCCAGGCTCTCCAGCATGGGGTGCAGGCATTCCAGGCAGCATCTTCACTACCATGCCAAATGCTCACCTCTGCCTGTGGGCCTTTTGCTGTAGTCCTAGGGCAAAACATAGGCCTGGTGTCTTCTGACATCCATGAAGCCCCCAACATATCTAGGCAGTGTGTCCTGTACCTGCTGACGTGCAGTGCTGGGATGGTCCTGTGCTAAGGTATTATTTCCCCTTGTGAAGACTGAGGCTCAGAAAGATGAGTTAGCTTGTCCAGTATCATATAGCCAGTCACCTGCAGAGCTGTGGTTGAAGCCAGGCCTGGCCACCTTCAAAGTCTGTGCCCTTTCCACCTCAGCAGGATGCTGGTCCTTGTAGGAAAGGATTGGCACTGACATCTCAAGAACCTTGGCCACCATAACAGAGCCTGTGTCCCTCCCTCACAGGTGTGTGCTGAAGATGGACCATCACTGCCGTATCCTTTTGCTGTCTCCTGCCTGAGGCCTTCCTTAGCTCCAGAGCACTGTCCAGGGTTGATGGCCACAGACCCAAGGCTTCTAGCGTCACCCTGCAGAAAACACTGGGCTCAGAAGTTAGTAGAAAACTTGTGGGGGCTAGGCCCTGGGGGACAAAGGAGGTTCACAGGCTCGCTGGGCCAGATTTCCTAAAGAAAGGGAATCTTGGCCGGCGCCGCGGCTCACTAGGCTAATCCTCCGCCTAGCGGCGCCGGCACACCGGGTTCTAGTCCCGGTCGGGGCGCCGGATTCTGTCCCGGTTGCCCCTCTTCCAGGCCAGCCCTCTGCTGTGGCCAGGGAGTGCAGTGGAGGATGGCCCAGGTGCTTGGGCCCTGCACCCCATGGGAGACCAGGAAAAGCACCTGGCTCCTGGCTCCTGCCATCGGATCAGCGCGGTGCGCCGGCCACAGCGCGCCGGCCGCGGCGGCCATTGGAGGGTGAACCAACGGCAAAAAAGGAAGACCTTTCTCTCTGTCTCTCTCTCTCACTGTCCACTCTGCCTGTCAAAAAAAAAAAAAAAAAAAAAGAAAGGGAATCTTTAAGTCATGCTGACGGTTACTGGGTAGAGATGTTTGAGTTTCTGTGGTTGTCCAGTGGGTGCCAAATAGAACCACAGGTCCTGGTCCCCTTCGGCTATCCTTTACAGATGTCTGGATTAATTTTACTCAAGAATTTCAATTTTTAAAAAAGATTTAATTAATTTATTTGAAGGAAAGAGTTACAGAGAGAGGTAGAGACAGAGAGAGAGGTCTTCCATTTGCTACTCACTCTCCAGAGCTTGGCTGATCCGAAGCCAGGAGCTGGGAGCTGCTTCTGGGTCTCCCATGTGGGTGCAGGGGCCCAGGGACTTGGGCCATCCTCTGCTGCTTTCCCAGGTGCATTAGCAAGGAGCTAGATCAGAAGTGGAGCAGCTGGGACTCAGACAGACACCCATATAGGATGCTGGTGCTGCAGGCCGGGGCATTAACCCACTGTGCCAAGCACCAGCCCCAAGGATTTCAATTTTTATGATTTCCTGGTGACATGTGAGGGCTCTGAGAAGCATAGAGCACTTTAATTTCAACCTTGGGAAAGAGTTCTGTATTATTCTATGATGGAAAACAGTTCGCGGTAACTAGAAGCTCAAGGCTTGGGAGAATGTCATTATGAACCAGGGATGACCAGAGAGGTCTGGACATACTCTGAAATGATTGCTCTTGTCCTTAATCATTGACCCACCAGCCTGGCTAAACAACTGTGTGGGCCACTATAACCATCGGTACTTCTTCTCTTTCTGCTTTTTCATGACTCTGGGCTGTGTCTACTGCAGTTATGGAAGCTGGGACCTTTTCCGGGAGGCTTATGCTGCCATTGAGGTGAGCTCGTGGTTAGGAATAGGGTGGCTCAGTAGGGTCCAACTTTAGGGGTTGGAACCTGTCCTTAAGGAATGGGGCTGGTAGCACTCCTATATAGGGGCCTGAGAGTATAACCAGCACTGTTTTCCATCCCCTTAGAAAATGAAACAGCTCGACAAGAACAAACTACAGGCGGTTGCCAACCAGGTGGGCCGTCCCCACCCCACTGCCTCCTGCTGCTCAGGCCTGGGGGTACAGAGTTGCTCAGGCAACTGGGGCCCACCTGTTAGTTTGGTTGTAGAGACAGGAGTGTTCAGGAGGCTGTCTGTGTGGGTAGACTAAGCAGCCTGGGCGCATCAGGCACTTCCCTGGCATATGGGTTTTCCACTCTTCCATCACCATCTCTTTGGGCTGAGCAAGGACTCCGCCTTTGTGACGGCCTGAGCAGCAAGGAGTCTATGTTTGTGTGGTGGGATTCCAGGGTCAGAGGTCAGGCTGGGCCAGTCTGCTTGTTTCTTGCTCCTGGTCTGTCTGCATCTGGGTCACCCTCCCCCCACCCCTGTGCCTTGCAGAGCTCCATATTCTGAGCACATCTTGGGTTCCTAGGATTATACCTCTGCTGCCTTTCACAGTCCTCAGTGGAGCTCATGATCCTCTCCAGTTCATTTCGGGTGTGGGCCTGGTCTCTTGGGATCCAGCCACACAGTGAAGGAGTCTTGGCTGGGGATTGGAGTGGCTTCCCCTGGAGCCCCATGTGCTTTGTCAACCTAAAGGCTCAGGGTCAGCTCCACCTGTGCTTTGCCATCTTGTCCAGACCTGCTCTGCCCAGTGTTTGTCCACGTGGTGCCGCTGGACTTGGTTGGTCCCACCCATCTGGCTGCTGCCTTGACTCCTCTGTGGCTTTAGCCTTCCCCCTTCTCTCCACCTCGGATTGGATCACTTCCTGCCTGTAGGTGCTGGGGCTCCGGGGGTAGCTGCTGGAACCCAACAGAGCGAATGAGCCAGGTTTTGCCATTTTCTTCCTCTAGACTTACCACCAGACTCCGCCACCCACCTTCTCCTTTCGAGAGAGGATGACTCACAAGAGTCTCGTCTACCTCTGGTTCCTGTGCAGGTACTAAACTCTCACTGTGACGGTTTTAAGGGGGCAGGCAGCTTCAGGAAGACCTTTTGAGGTGCAGGCAGGAACCCACCCTAAGAGAACTGGCACTGTTGTGGTCTGACAGGCTGGCAAAGAGGCAGCACTTAGTTTTCTTCAGCATTTTGAGGCACAGTGTGAGCATATATCGGTCATGTGCCAAGGTGGGTTCAACTCCTTATTCATTTAATCCTCACAGCACCTATGTAATGGGTAGGCGTTGACTACATTTTATGGATAAGGAAAACTGGAAGTCAGGGGTAAAGTGATTTGTTCCACAACATACAGCCAGTACTGGCAGAGCTGGAATGGAAATTTTATGCCATCCCACTCCAATCTCTATGCTTTTACTGCCCTCCACTATTTCCCAAACATGGGTCTTAGGAGATACAGAACATTATTTTATTTTTTTTTTTTTTATTTTTATTTTTTTTATTTTTTGACAGGCAGAGTGGACAGTGAGAGAGAGAGAGAGAGAGAGAGAGGTCTTCCTTTGCCGTTAGTTCACCCTCCAGTGGCTGCCACGGCCGGCGCACCGCACTGATCCGATGGCAGGAGCCAGGAGCCAGGTGCTTTTCCTGGTCTCCCATGGGGTGCAGAGCCCAAGCACCTGGGCCATCCTCCACTGCACTCCTGGGCCACAGCAGAGAGCTAGCCTGGAAGAGGATCAACCGGGACAGAATCCGGCGCCCTGACTGGGACTAGAACCCGGTGTGCCGGCGCCACAAGGCGGAGGATTAGCCTATTGAGCCGCGGCGCCGGCCCAGAACATTTTTTTTTTTAATTTTTTTTTTTTTTGACAGGCAGAGTGGACAGTGAGAGAGAGAGAGACAGAGAGAAAGGTCTTCCTTTGCCGTTGGTTCACCCTCCAATGGCCGCCGCGGCCAGCGCGATGTGGCCGGCGCACCGCGCTGATCCGATGGCAGGAGCCAGGAGCCAGGTGCTTTTCCTGGTCTCCCATGGGGTGCAGGGCCCAAGCACCTGGGCCATCCTCCACTGCACTCCCGGGCCACAGCAGAGGGCTGGCCTGGAAGAGGGGCAACCGGGACAGAATCCGGCGCCCCGACCGGGACTAGAACCTGGTGTGCCGGCGCCGCTAGGCAGAGGATTAGCCTAGTGAGCCGCGGCGCCGGCCCAGAACATTATTCTTAATAATATCTCATTTCTTTTCCCTTTCCATGCAGTTTATTCCCAGCCCTTTCACTGATGCTATTTATAGATGCAGTGAAATAAAAGCTCTTCTAGGATATTTGCCTGGAGAGATGGGGCAGAGGGCATGAGCCAGCCATTACTGCTTAGCAATTTCAGACCAGCACCTCCAGATCTCTAACCTGCTCACCAATCTTTGCCCCTTTTCTTAGTTCTGTGGCACTTGCCCTGGGTGCCCTAACTATATGGCATGCTGTTCTCATCAGTCGAGGTGAGACCAGCATCGAAAGGCACATCAACAAGAAGGAGAGACGTCGGCTACAGGCCAAGGGCAGAGTGAGTAGGATTAAGGGCTTGGGATGAGCAGGTGGGTAAATGAATCTATAAACAGAGGTTATACAAGGTCAGAATTTGCCTACCTGAGCCTTAGCTTAGCTAATTTAGTCTCAAACACTAGAAGATTCATAGAAGAAGTTTGTAGAAATGTATGTTTTTCTTGGCCCTATAGATATTTAGGAACCCCTACAACTACGGCTGCTTGGACAACTGGAAGGTGTTCCTGGGCGTGGACACGGGAAGGTAAAGTAAGACATGTAGATCAATAGTGTCCAACAACTGTTGTGAGTAAAGTGTTCTGTGCTGGCAAGCTCTTGGATTGTGGCTAGTCACCTCCATGAATTTAAGTTGTAATATGGGCTAGTGCCTACTGTCTTAGATAGCATGTTTCCAGAGTTTAGAGTTCATTTGAGCCAAAGAAGCTTGAGGCCCGAACTGTGTGGTTTTGAGTCCTCAAGATGACTACAGAATCCTGAAAAAGCTTTTGTCAAAGGGACCACCAGGTAGGATATAGTGGCCACTAGTTGCCTCTCAGTTAATGGCAGTGTCTTCTTCAGTTCAAACCAATCATTCCTGAGATGAGGCTAGCCGTCCCACCCCAGGGGAGATCACTGCTTCCAGTGCAGTTCCAAGGGAGTGACAATCACATGACCACCAGTGCCTTCCAGCCTCCCTATCCCATCCTCATTACACTTCTGCCTACCACTGCGCTTGCAGCAGCCCCTTCAGAGCACCACACAACTGGATAGGGAAAAATAGGATTCTGTTATTTTTGTGCTTGGTGTTATTTGCTGAAGAATTTTGAATAGTAAGGATGACTGAGGACACTTGAAACTCATACATTTCTTTCTATTTTGCAGGCACTGGCTTACCCGGGTGCTGTTACCTTCCAGTCACCTGCCACATGGGAACGGAATGCTATGGGAGCCCCCGCCCTGGGTGGCTGCTCACTCAGCCTCTGTGATGGCAGTGTGAGCTGCCCTGTGTCAGCCTCCATTGGAGCATTCATCTTGCTTCCTACGTTGACCTTGTCTCATAGGCCACCAAGGGCAGCGTTTCTTGGAATCCTTGATCAAAAAGAGCCAATGGGCCTGCCTTAGTGTACCAGGCAGGGACACCTCCAGGACCAACCTTTTGGCCCCTGCAGAAGCAAGACAGCATGGAGAAGTCCTAGGAATGACACCCCTTTACTCAGGCAAACAGAAACTCCAGCCCCACACCAGGGGTCAGGCAGCTAGCTACCTTGCCGGTGCTGACCCTGACTGCCTCCAGGCTGCAGCGCTGGCCTCGGGCACCACCTCTTCCACTTGCTGTCTGAGAAAATATCTGACTGGTACAGCTGAGATTGTGGCTTTCAACAGGGCACATCACCAGGCCTGCCACTGGGATCACTGCCGCTTCTCACGTTGCCGAAGGGAGCAAATAAAGGTGTTTGGTTTGTAAAGATATGTAGCTTTTCACTCTGCCTCCCTCAGTGTAAGGCAGGGAAGGGGGAAGTCAGGGTCAAGGCCTGGTGAGCAGGTATCCTGGCCATGCCTTCTGTGCCTTTACTTGGAAGGGATGGATGGTCCAAAGAATTCTTTTGCTTTTGACAGGCAGAGTTAGACAGTGAGAGAGAGATCTTCCTTCCGTTGGTTCACCCCCCAAATGGCTGCCACAGCTGGCGCGCTGTGCCGATCCAAAGCCAGGAACTAGGTACTTCCTCCTGGACTCACTCCAAAGAATTCTTGTCTAGTCCTTATCACTATTTTTTTTTTTTTTCTAGCTTAGGTCACAGATGCCTGGTTATGTGATACTGAGGCATATGGAGGGTAGGGAAAATATCTGACAGCCCCATTACCAAAAGAAATGTTTATTCTCCAGCAGGTACACACATATCCACCATCCCTGGTCCTTGGGCCATGTTAATCTGCATTCACACCTCAGCAGCACATCTCCCTTTTCTTGACCTAAGACTTTTTCTCCAAACCCAAGTGGTTTTACACTTGGCTCCATCAGAAATCCATGAGAAACCAGGACTCTAGGTTTCTTATATAGCCATGCAACAGAGGGCCGGCATTTGTGCTGTGTCCTTGGGGAAGGCAGTCCAGTGGTCTCCCTGCCTTGAGCAGGATAGCCAAGAATTAGTAATTCCAGGTGAGATTGTCTGACAGAACAGTCTAGACCAGGACCAAGGGCTCAGCTGCCAGGGCTCCCCAGCAGAAACCTGTAAGCAGGAAGAATGGTGGCAGTATTAGCGTGGGGCTTCTTCTAGTCCCTTCTCTCCCCAGACCTAGAAACTCACCACTCTCCCCTGGCTGCTACGGCCTCCTTGCGCACCAGTCTCTTCTTATCATCCAAGGGTTTGGCTAAGGCTCGGATCACCTGTGGTTTGTAGGGGAGCAGCTGTGAAGACAGAGAGATAAGCTTAGCCTTATTCAATCAAAGCAACTGGGTGTCACTTCTCTGTCTTTATACAATGAATGTTATGAGGAAAACCAAATGTGATTCCTTAGTGATGCAGAGGAACAACATGGTCATTCTATTATGAGACAGTCAGGATTTACTGGGTCCATTCTAGGCCCAAGGAACAAAGTTCTTGCCTATCTAAATGCATTTGTGGTAACATGGCTAATCCCACTTGACTAAGGCAAAAAAAAAAAAAAAAAAAAAAGCTTTTCGGTTTCTCCTAAGACCTTGCCAAGCCAGGGAGGGATACATGAGGCGCTTACCACCGGGGTGGGCAGGCGAGTGAGAGCGTGCATGCACTGCAGAGCCGCGATCCGGACAGCCTGGAACACAACCACGAGGAAGGAGTGAGGGGAAATCGAGGAGAAGTGTAGCTGCCGGAGTTGCTGGGGCCCAACGCACCATGGAAGGGCTGGAGCTGAGGTTCAGAAACTTGGTGACGAGGGTATCAACATGAAGACTCATGACCTGGGGTGCTTCCAGCAGGAGAGGCTGAAGGCAGCTGAGCGTGGAGAGTTGGACCACACAGTCAGAGCAGGACAGGGCCTCCAGCAGCAAGGAGAGAAGCTAAGGAGCAATGGGAAGGGTACAGATGAGGATACTGTGCTGGCTGATTCTCTCTCCCCTGAGCCCCAGCTATGGGAAAACAGCTTTGTTGCCTGCTGCGAGGCTCCCACTGCAGGACTTACTGTGGGCAGCTCTGGCAACAGCACAGGCTTGGGCAGCCTGTTAAGGACATGGGACAGGCCCTTCAGGTAGTTTGGCTTCACATCTGTAAAATGAAAAAGTTGAGGGAAGAACCTGGGCTTAGACATTCAGCTTGAGAACTCAACTCCAATCTCTGACAAGGCTGGGCTATCAGCCTACAGAGACATGAGCTGGGAGAGGGGAAGCACTTGAGGTAGACGCACTCACCAAAGGAAAAAGTGGGACAAGAGTCAGGGTATTGTGCTTTCTCTGTAAACACTATAGCTCTAGGGAACCACTCAGGGCCTAACTTAAGTCAGGGGATGTGGCTGTGCAAAGAGGGCCTTTGAGATTCTCTTCACCTTGGGGAGCAGAATGGAAGCCCTGGACCAAAGCAGGCACGTTGTCTGTGAAGAACCGCTGGCGGAACATGATCCGCACCTCGGCGTGGCCAGCACGAGTCAACACATCAGTACAGTCAGACATGAGCAGAGAAAAGCCATCGGCTGCTGCTGGGCCTAGTTCTGGATCACTCAGGAGGCCCATGAGCTGAAGAAAAGAGAATCTTTGAGGTACGTCAGGGAGGACAATGTTAAATACCAAAGTGGAAGATGCAAGTTATTTCTGGGAAGAATAAGATCAACAGCAAATTCTGTTTAGGTCCTAGGTTCTCCTGTTGCAAGAGGACTTACCCGGGTTGTAAGGCAGGAGCTGAGAGGATGGTATCTGAGCACTAGCGCCTTTGTTACCTGCAGAGAGAACACACAGTTAGGGCAGGACATTTGAACTCCCTCCCAGCACCCCGCGAGGCAGCTGCTTATGGCTCAGGGTCAAATAAGGGCATTATATTGAATGAGATGCAACTGCCTGGGTCTAGCCAGAGTCCATCCCGCCTCCTTACCCACAGCAGCAGTGTGAAGGCCTGTCTACGCGAGGGCCCAGAGCCCAGGCTCGCCTCCACTGTGTCCATAGCCAGCTGGAGGAATTCGTCCAGCTGCTGCCCTAAAAGGGAGGGAGGGAAAGCTGATGCACAGGCTACAGAGTTTTTCCTTTAACAATGAAAGATATAAATTATTTAAATGCAGAGTCCCCAAGAAGCCATTAGAAAAAGAGAGCAGCATTTTGCCTGGACAAAATGATTGGATACCAGCAAATGCAAAGATGCTAGTATTCAAAAGGATTGTCTGCTTCCTAAAAAGCATTATCATAGTAGCTCCACCAGGATGGCCAATCTAGAGCATTTCTTCTCTCTCTTAGGTTCCATTATGCTTTGCCCACCCTGACTCTTGGTCATGACTCTCGACACAAGGGCTGTCCAAGGATAGTGCTTGAGCAGCTGATGTCATTAGCAAGCTCCTCTTTCAAGAGAATGAGAACAGAGCTTGAAGCTTTCATAGTAGACGATTCAGGAAGTCTCCTGGCCCAGTCTCATTGCAGTACCTGCAGGATGCTTGTTTAGGAGTCCTGCAAAACACTTGGCAGCAGCTGTGGAGGAGAAGGGGCAGCCGTGGCAACAGCTCAATTCCAACAGCTCCCGCATAAGTTGGTTCAGCTGAGGGATTTCCACCTGTAGAAAAGCTGGCCATGTAAAACAAACCCAGAGAACACTTGAACTCCAAGACCTACTCAGTAGAAAGTGGTAGCAGGAACCACAATGGACAAGATTTGACTTCTCTGGAGGATCAACTACAAGATCAGCTCAGCCCATGGCAAATTTCAGCCCAGAGATCACCTAGGATCTACCTCTCCTTGGTGAGGGTTAAACCAGGGACCGGTCCAAATGTGCTCACTCACCTCTCGAGGCAAGGAGCAGACAAAGGCCATAAGCAGTGCAACCAGCCGCCTTTGCTCCACAGAGCCATCCTAGAAAGGAAGAGTAGCCCCATCAGGCCTGTCCTGCCAGCAGAGGGCTTGTCTGACCTTATACCCAGCCTAGATTAGCCTAGGAGGGTTAAGTTTGAAAGATCTAAGTTCCAAGATTCTCCCCGATCTAACCCATCAGACTCACGTGGAATGGCTGGAATCTGCTTGGAAAGCTGTTTTCAGGCAGAAAGGAGGTGTTGCCATCCAAGAAGAGGGGTACAATGCAGGTAACACTCTGGGCAGCTAATCTGGGGTAGAGTACTAGGTATTATCAAGGAGCCAGGATTGGAACACAGCCCTCCCCTCCACAGCAGTGCTTTTCAACCTGAGTGGGAGTCACATTAGGGCCGCTGAGCCAGTGATCACTTGCGTATTCCACAAATGTTAACCTAGCTCATAGTATGTGCCAGGGACCACTCCTATACTAGACCCTGTTGATAAAGCAGTGAACTGAACAGATCTAATTCCTCTTACAGCTTCTAATCTAGTAAGAACTCAATGTAGTTTTAAAAATCCACAGCTGATTTTTAGGCACATCCACTGCTAAGAACCACTGGCCCATGGCTTACCACCCCCATGGTCCATTTTGATTTGTTAGCACAACTCGCAGAACAAGTAACTGCCTTCACATTTAAATGCCTGTTAAAGGACAGATGACCTTGCTAGTGCTTCTTCCCAGGAATGCCATCCTCCCTGGGTTCAAGCTGTGTTTAGGATTACACTCACTCAGGGTTCAGGTGGGTGGTGGCAGTGCCAATAACAGACACCATAGCGACCAACACCTCATCCTCCAGCAGCACTTTTCTCAGGACAGAGGGCTCCTTCTCTGCAAAACCAAACCAACACAACACATGTAACACAGAATCCTGTGGTGATAACTGTGGTTCAGAGACCCAAATTATTAGGTCCTGTCATCCTGATTTGGGCTCAACTCTAGCCAGAAGAGCAGTCTTCTTTTTTCTTTAAAATATTTATTTATTTATTTGAAAGTCAGAGTTACATAGAGAAGGAGAGGCACAAAGAGAGGTCTTCCATCCACTGGTTCACTCCCCAACTGGCCGTAACTGCCGGAGCTGCACCAACCCAAAGCCAGGAGCTTCTTCTGGGTCTCCCATGCAGGTACAGAGGCCCAAGGATTTGGGCCATCTTCTACTACTTTTCCAGGCCACAGCAGAGAGCTGGATTGGAAGTGGAGCAGCTGGGACTTGAACTGCCACCCATATGCAGGCAGTGGCTTTACCCGCTACACTACAGCGTCGGCCCCAAGAACAGCAGTATTAATGTGCCCCTGGTAGTCCTGAGAACCAGCAAGACAAGACACCAGAAGCAGAAGTGACCTGACTGAGGGCCAGATAGAGTTTTTGAGAACACTGAACACAGTCCTTAGATTAGGCAGCCAGGGAAAATAGAGTAAATCTGTTCCGAACATCAGAAACAATACTGTTA